ATTGTCTAAGAAAACGATTAATTTGATTCTTAAAGATTAACATGGATTTTTTCGAAATTACAACTAATAGTAAGTCAATCATTTTTTTTTTTCAAACTTACTATAAAAGTACTTTCCCAACAATCATTTTATATTATTATAAATATGGATATTAATATATTTCGACATTAACATATTTCAAATGTAAATGAATTATTTTTTAATTTTTTTATAACGCATTTACAACTTGTGTTGTAACCCAAGTTGTCATCCAAGTGGACTAAATAACATTACTCTAACTAAAGTACTACTTATCTATCAATATTAACTTAAATATAATGACTGGCCCAAATTTTCTCATAAAATATATTTAAATATAAAATAAAACAAAATAATATATTTTTTAAAATTCATAAAATAAATTTGTAAAAAACTAGATAATTAGGAAAATTATTTTTAATCTTCAATTACCATACTTTGAAAACTATATGATTTTTTTCATTATAAATATGAAAGAATACTTGTTATTTATAATAAAATGATGATGCAAAGGGTAAAATGTAAATATACATTAAAAATATATAGCATAAAATATTATGAGATAATATTTTAATTTATTTATCCCCAATATGTTTAAATATTTTATGCTAAAACATTAATATAAAATACGTGTGAACAACTATTTTAGGCATGACGCAACAATAAAAAACCATTGTTTGTGAAATAAATATGTCAATCAGTACATTCACAAGAAATATCTAATTACTCATAACATAAAGTTGGGCAAAATTTAAAAATGAGTAAATTAATTAATTAATAATTAGATATTAAATTTTTATATAACTTGACAATGGTAAAATAAATAAATATTATATAATATCTAATATTATTTATTTATATTATAAAATTGTGCCCCACATGCATCTAGTTATGTGCAAAAGAGACAAATTTAGTCAATGCCATATTCATAAGAGGTGCAGTTCTGTTTTTCCTAATTTTGCCCTCATAAAATAAGATTCAACTGATCATTAAGCCAATTGCATCAATAAATTAATCTCATTGGAAAAACCCAATCACCATGATATAATATTATGATTACGAACTCAGTATATATAAATAAATAACACCATCACTTTCTCCCAAAAAAAATAAATAAATAAATAAAAAATTATTACCTATAACTGTGAAAAATAGTGCAAGATGTCCAATTTCATTGGTAGTTCATTATTATTACCCATAGCCATCCTATTTCTATTGCTCCCACATTCTTGGAGTGTTGACATCCGTACTCAGCAATTGATAGGTGACATTTGTAGGAGAACTTATAATTATGGGTATTGTATCGACGTGTTTTACAAGAATTTGTATAAGCCCACGATGGATATCAAAGGATTAACTGAAATAGCGGTGACGCAGTCATTATTACACACGTCGGATACCCTGAAATTCATAGTGAAGTCGTTGGATTCAGAAAGGAGATCGGACATAAGAGATGTTTACAACTTTTGTAGGACTTCCTACAACAGTGGTTTGAGTAAATTGACAGACGCCCTTTTGGCATTTGCTAAAGGAGACTATAAAAACATGCCAATTTTGTTGTTACAGGGTGACAGGTCTCTGAGCAATTGTCAGGCTTTTGCGGACAATAGGGTGCCACGTTTGGCTGATGAAAATGGTAAAAATAGAGAGTTGATTCAAATGTCACTTGTGAGTGGCCAGCTTATTGGGCACGTGTGATTTAGGTGGTTAAGTGAATGGATAATAATATATGCACAATACAAATTATGGATTACATTTCTTTTTTAATCCGTTGAGTCTTTCGCATTCTTTGTTTTTTTTTTTTTTTTTTTTTTT